TTCCCAGCAACAGCACCTAGATTGGTGTCCTATTGAATAACTGAGAGGAGATGTGAGTGTATCTTAGGAGACAGGATGGTCTTGGGGACTGCCTGAGAACCCGTCTGTCACACCGTAACTAAAATTCCCAGGCATAAGCCTAACTTTTGGCATGACTGGGTGCAATGGAGCTCGCTGTCATCGGGACTCTGACTTTCTGTCTCCAGCCTTGCTCTCTCTGTGGAGATTTACTCTCAAGCTGGTTTTCTTTACGAGGAGGAAAAGGAGCTTAGAGGTATCCTGCTCCCCTCCTCACTGTTCTGAAAGTGCCAGCCTCGGAGAGAAGCCTCTGGTTGGCCTGCCTCGGGGGCAGGCCTGTTCCTACAGCCAGATGTTGTGGCTAGGAGGATGCTGTGCGCTGATTGGCTAGACCTGGCTCCATGCTCAGGCTCCTTTTTGGAGCCGGGGATGAGGTCGTCCATCCAAGCCCAAGTCCCAAAGAAAACGGGGAGCAGTCATTTCCGAAAGATGCCTCTCAGGGGAAATGCTCATCTGCAAAACTGTAGAAAAAAAGAAAACGGAAGGAGCTTTGGGTGAACTGTATTGAATATTCTAAGAAGTTGGTTAGGATGAGGACTCAGGAAAAGTCCCTGGATTTAGGCAGCGGGAAGCTGCGCTGCTGACCTTTGAAAGAGAATGTAGCTTGCTTAAAAAAAAAAAAAAAATTAAAATTAAATAAATAAATAAATAAAGTGATAGGAGGGACGTTGAATTTATATTGCACTTTCACCTGCTGGTGAGTGGCAGCCAAGTGACAGCTCTTTGGGAACCTACCAGGGAATGGAGAAGGTCTTTCAGGGACAGCAGTGACTCAGTGTGTGTGTGTACGTGGGCTGAGAAGCCTCTAGTAGAAAGGAAAAAAGAAGGGGAGACAGAGAGCAGAGTTGACCCCAACAGGACCCGGAGCAGCAGGGGGAGAGTGAATAAAAAGTCCAGTTGGAAGGACCACAGGACGTTTTCCAGGTTCTGGGTGTTTATTTATAGTGTGTGTGGGTGGTGGTGGGGGGTGTTTTGGCCACTTGTCACCTCTTTGGAATAAACAGGTATCATTCCTATCAATAGAACCATCTTACAATCATCAAATATATATACGAAAGGTCCACTGGTGCTGTCCGGCTGGGCAGCTGACATAAAGACCCTTAGAAGGTGTTTCCCAAAGGGTGGTCCTGGATCAGCAGCTCCAGTCTCACCTGGGAGCTTGTTAGAAGTGCAAGGTCTCTGGCCTCACCCCAGGCTCTTTGAATTAGAAATTCTAGGGATGGGTCCCAATAGTCCATGGTTTTAACAGGACTTCAGCTGTTTCTGATGCTGATTTTGAGAACATTGCCCCCGAGGCCCCCATCCCTCCTCCACGTGGGGGTGGGGTTGCTCTAATAGCGGGCTTTGAAAAAGCCATGAGATCCGGGCTACATATATGCCTGATGACAGGAAGCACAGGGGGCATAGAAACCTTGAAAGATGAGGGCAACTGTTCAGAAGCCACCAATGACAAAATGGAATGGGTTGGAAGAACGGAGAAGAGGTAGGTGACATTGCAATGGGGTTGTTTACAAGTTGGCGGAGAGCTTTCATTTGGACCGGAGGTGTCATGGTGGTTCCGAGTCCTGGGGGAACCAAGGAAGATGAGAAGGTCTTTGATTGTGGCAATAGAGGAGGGGATCCTTCCCGGGAAGGGTTAAGTCCTGGAACAAGGCTTTAGGTGTGGAGGGTATTATTTAAATTCAGGCTCTTCCACCAGACACTTGGCTTGTGAAAGGAGGGCATGGCGAGGTTTCTCTCATCAAGGAGCTTATAAACTTTTTGAGCCTTCAAGACTTAAATAAATCCAGTGGAGTATAAAAGGACGGTAGGACAGAGCACTGAATTGAAAGGACCTTGGGTCACAGTATGCGGTGGAGACTGTAAGTGCCCGTGGGCAGTCGAGGGACCGAGAAGCTGGCTTTGTGTCATTCCTCCTCCTCACCGAGGACGAAACTGTCAGCCTGGCATCCCCTCCCAGGTCTGATGGCAAGGTATCAGACAACTTGGCTGCAAGAAGTGCTTTTCTTGCTCTCTCCTGAGTTTGCTAAGGTTTGTCGAGACTAGCTAGGTCACAGTGAAGCTCTGAATTCTTAGACTTGGTACGCTTGGAGGAGTGTTAAGATTTTTTGTTGGCATGAGAAACTTGGAGGAGAAATTACATTTTACCCTGGGCAGCTTAAACGGAAAAAGACTCAAGGTTTGGAGTGTTTGTTTCGGGCTGACTCCATGCACGGGGAGGACGTGAATGAGCCTGCCTGGGGTGCCTCGGTTTTGTAGGATGAAGAATGCAAATTACTGATTTTTTTTTTTCGTTGGTGGAGGACTTGAGCCAGATGGGGAATGAGCAGAGACAAGAAAACCCTGCAGAGGAACTCAGCCTTTCCATGGCTTTTTTCTCTCTTTGCATCGTGCTGCTTTCTCACTTGGGCACATAATCAGGGTACTAAATCAAGAGACGCTGTTACAGATGGGTATAAATGCCATTCAAGTGCAAGGGGGAAATAATAAAAATATCCTGATAGCCAAGGAGAAGCCAGAACTTTGGAACCTAAAGCAAGGTACTAGGTTGACATGAGATGTTTTTAGTCCCTGTTTGAATGGCCTCTCTACCACAAGCTGTGGTCTGCAGGTGTCAGGAGAGCTCCCTTCCTTTCTCCGTGATGGGGTGACTTGGTGTATTAGGGAACAGGATTCTTCTTYCCCATCAGATCAAGTTCAGGCCTTGAACGGTGTTTTCCCTGAAGAGATGGCCTGTGTTTGTTGGTCCGAGGGCCCAGCAGTCAGAAGGAAGGATGGTCTCTTGCTTCAGGGTACTGAAGACGGCTCTGCTTATTGACAGAGACCCAGTTGAAATGACCCCCCACCCAAAGTGGAACAGCAACCTCCTCGACATCTCCACATCCCACCCAGTGCACACAGGCTGTGTCCTCTACCTGGAGACTCGATGTCTGGCCACCTTCCACCCGTCTGACTTCCCAGCTTCACTCTTACTTTCCTAAGAGGCTTCCTGGGCACCTCTTCCAAAGCAAAGCTCCCCATTAAGATTGTCAGTCATGATTATTTTTCCTTCATTGTTTGTTTTTGATGCTACAGGGGATTGGACCCAGGGGCACTCTACCCCTGAGCTATATCCCCAACCCTTTTTATTTTGGAATAGGGTCTAAGTTGCCAGTTGGCCTCACACTTTCAATCTGCTGCCTCAGCCTCCCAAGTTGCTGGGGTCACAGGTGTGCACCGCCGCACTCCACCCTGTTCTCTGTATTTCATGCAGACACTAAAAACTATATGCTTTAACTCTTTCAGGTCTGTACCTCTTGTCACAAGGAGACCCAAAGGGCAGGGTCCTTATCTATTTTGTTCATTATTATTGCCCTCCAGACAAACATAGAACCGGTGGACATCATAGCACTAAGTAAGAGTTTGCCCTGCCAATGAGTTAATTCATAAGCAAAAACATGGTATTGGATTCACTAGAAAAGTGATGATTAATTATACAAACAGCTGACCCCTTCTTCCCCCCTTCTGTCCTAAATTTTGTCTTTTTTTTTTGAGATATACTTGATAATGTTTTACTAATTCCAAATTTAAGATTGGATATTATTCACTTTTGTRTATATGATCTGTTTTTTTCCCTCCTGGAAATATGGCTTCTTACACCCATGATGCTAAACGGCATCTCCCACCTGTGTTCAACACACATTCCTGACTTTGAAAGGAAAAACCTGACTGGGGCTTGTGGGTGATTTATACGGAAGCAGACAGATCCTTAAATTCTGTGTTTTTCATCACTCCCTGAAGCTACTAATGTAAGTTGCTGTCCCTCAACTATGCTTCTCAARGGTACGTAAGTCAAAATAGCTTGATACTGGCCTGGGAGCAGCTGTTCCTGAATCCGCCTCAAAGCGTGGGGAGAGGGGTGGCGGGGCAAGGACTCCAGGTGCAGAAAATATATTCATGATCAGCCTAGGAATAGGTCTTTTCATTAAAAGCCACAAACAAACCTTGCACAGTTCCTTTTCCAGCCGGGCCTTGGTGTACCACCTCTGTGTGTGACTGTCATCCTGGGGCAGGGGTGGGAAGGCAGACGGACGGCCAACTGGAAAATTTCAGAGCCCCGAAAACATTCAGTGCGTGAAACACTGCAAATCTGTGGTCTGTACCAAATAAGTGTGCCCCATGCCCCTTGCCCCCCCATGCTCGCATCCCCTGAGCTTCCTGTCCCATGCCTTTCCTTTCTCTTCTGCCTGGCACCCAGCACATTTGGGTGCTCCAGGGAGGGCTGACTGTTGGTGCCTGGCCAGAGCTGGCTATTACAGTCTGGCTCCAAGCTCGGTAACAGGCTTGTGACCACTAATAACACTTGGCACTCCCTTCGTGCCCGTCTCCTCAGGAACTGTGAGTGCTTTGCGAAAGTCATCTTATTGATCGTCCCCCAAACCCAACGAGGTATGGAAATGGTAAAAGGGGATAGTCCTTGCTCCCCTTTGCAGAGAGCAAAATCAAGTGACTTATTTTGGGGTTTTGATTGTCGTTATTTTTGCAGGGCTGGGGATGGAACCCAGGGCCTTCCATGCGCATCTAGGCAAGCGCTCTACCACGGAGCTACACCCCAGCCCTAAGGGGTTTATTTTGATGATGCAAGTTTGCATCTCATCCAGGATTGCAGGATTGTGTGTGAAGTCTCCTAAAATTGCCTCCAATTTTATAGAACAGGGTGGGGAAGGAAAAAAAAAGATGGCTATGCCTTCTTGTGTCTCCTGGGGTAAGCGCAAAAAGACTGTTTTTTTTTTTTTTTGGTTTTGATTTTAGGAAAGAATACTGGAAAAGGGTTGTTGGTGAATGCCCATTTAGTCTAATGGATCAGGGAACCTCATTTGTTGAGATAAGGTGTGATTTGATGATGCATTTACCTGTTTCTCTTTGGTCTGTTCCCATGCCAGGTGTCTCTCACCCCTCTGTGAACACAAGGAAGACCACGTCGGGGCTCGGAGACCTCCAGCTTCGCTGGGGAGGCTCCATGCTGGAGAACAGGCCAAGGCTCCCTGGGAACGGTGTGCAGTGAATGTTGTAAGTTAACAAGGAAGCAGCCTCTGCAGGGACCTGCCTGCGGAGGATTTGTGAATCACCGCTGCAGCTGAGCCAGGGTGATGACGGGGTATTAGCAGGAGGCTAGGTGATCATCCAATTAATTCCCTTGCTGACTTTTTTTTTTTTTTTTAGGAGGTTCTGTTTGTATTTGTCGTGAACTTGCCTGTCTCTTGGTTTCTGTGCAGCGCTGCTCATTATCTCCTTCTAGAATAAAAGTGGAATACAATGATTCTTTCATTGTGGGAACGCCCTGCCTACTGGTACAGCCAGATAGGATCAAAGTCGCCTCCTTAGACAGAGCTATGGCAGTTCTTTTAGGGTGATGAATAGGCCGAGGCTTAGCAGCAACCAGGATTTCCACCCAACCATAATTCTAGGTTTCATATGAAGTTTTGGCCTGGAGAGGTGTTTTTTTTTTTTTTTTTCTTTTCCTTCTGGCTTTGAACATCTTGAGGTGTGCAAAGATGAGCCGTTTTGTTGGGTGCTTCTCTTATTCATAATTAGTTGATTTCCTGGATTTCATCAGGTTACTGGGTTTCAGATTTTGAGATTAGTAAATAAGTACTGTGTGTCAGCTGATGGCTCATGACAAGTTTTAGTATTAAGTAGTTGCTGAGATGATCCAGGAGGAACTTCAAGGGGCTCACTTGCTACTTTGTTGCTACTTTTTGGAGATTTCAACTCATTGTGAGACTGTGTTGTTTAAAAAAAAAAAAAAAAAAAAAAAGTTAGCAGAGTGTTGAGCAGGAAAGAATCCCACTGCAGGAAACCCAGGATGGCCAGTGGACACCCTGACAGAGAGGAAATGATAGTACCTTCAAATTTTAGAAGATGAAAGGTCAATTCCAACTTGGTTTCTGTGTGTTTGTATGCATACTTTTGTAATCTGTGTATTTTTAATATTATGTGCATGTTTTTAATTTCTTAATGTAACTAGAATACCTTTTCAGTTCATCACCTATTGTTCAGTTGCCTGAAAGGGCTCGATGCAGCACGTATCAGGAAGTAAAAGTATGGTCATCGAGAAGTTCCCAATAGATGTTTTTATTTCATGGGTTTTTAAATATTAGTATTAAAATATGTATATGTATCCATATTTCCTCAGGGTTAAATAGCAGTATGAGAATGAGGTTACTAAATTTTCCCCATGCCTCATAGTCGACATGCTGAAGTTTTAGTGTATGTCTGTTTCACACGATGATCACCTTGGTTCCAGGGGGCAGCTGGTCCTGCCATCAGTGTCCTTGGGCAAGAAGTTGCTAACCCGCCAGCAGTGGTATTCTGTGAGTCTGTAGGTTGCTGTGTACGCCTGTTCATTTAGCAGCCACCATCTTGGCCTGCAGTCCCCATCAGGGCAGAACTTCTTTACTTACCAGAAATCTCTCTCTCTGCAACGGCTTCTATCACTATCAAAAAATAATTTGTACTCCTGTTGGATTGGGGTGTTAGGGTGTTTTACCAGAAATTCTTTGCAATCAGGTAATTGTTAGAATGGTGATTGATTGATTGATTGATTTTGATTTAAAAGGTGTCCTTTTCCTGGAAAGCAAATATCTTGTGGAATAGTGCTCTAGGTTTCAGGTTCTGTTTTTCATATATTGATCTACCCATTTCACACATATATCCTGAGGATTGAACTCRGGGATGTTCTATTACTAAGCTACATCCCCAGCTCTTAATTTTTTGAGACAGGGTCTTGCTAAATTGCCCATTCTAGCCTCAAACTTGTGATCCTCCTGCCTCAGCCTCCCAAGTAGTGGAATTACAGGCGTGCACCACCCCAACCTGCTCAGGCACTATTTAAATGAGCAGTGCAGTAACTATAATCAAGATAGTTTGTTTCAAATAGTGTGTGTGTGTGTGTGTGTGTGTGCGTGTGCGCGCGCCCATGCACATGTGCACACGCGCATGTGTTTAAACCATTGCTTTGAAGCATTCATGCCAGACCTCAGACACTGAGGTTTTTAAAGCTCTGAAGTGTAAATTCTAGGATGCCACGTGGCCGACTTGGTCATTTTAAAATCCTTCTCCAAGTGGAATGTGTTGAGAGGAAGAAAATTCCAAGTCCTTATACTTTACTTTCTCTTCAAAACTGCATTGCTAGCATTGAGAGGGAGGTTCCCCCCCGTTTTCTTAGTAAATCTTGACCTCAGTTACCTCTTGCAATCTTGGTCCATTCTTACAACACTGTTTCTGTTTCACCTTGGATTTGGTGTCCCGGGTCCCTTGAGGCCTGTGCCATGGCGTGGCCTTATGATAGGGAAGGCAGGTGATTTTCAAAGAACCCGTGTTTACACGTGGACCGGGCATGGGTACACAAGTGTCATTCTCACAGCAGCTGTTGCAACGAGCGGCTCCATCCTGGTGGTCCCTGCGGGTCACCACGGCTCACGCATTACCCTTACTCTGCCTAATTACCCAGCTCAAGAGGCTGTGTCTTATATGAGAGCGGTGGTGACAACTGGAGTCGGAACGCCTGGGTTTCACGCATGATGCTATAGTTAGCTTAGAACCTTGGTCCCACTGTGRCCCCGGGGACCCATTCTATGCTGGGCAACATGAGGAAACTGAGGCCTGTCCCCATCTGCATAAAGTGTCAGTCTCTGAGGCACCTTGCACCCTCATGTTGACATCTGTGACTCCTAAAAACTAACTTCATTTACAACTGCTGTTAATGTATTGAGTACAGCCAGCCTTATAGAAATATGCGTGTGTGTGTGTGTATACATATATAATTATTAGATCTATGTCCATCAAAGTCTTTCTACAAGACCCTCAGATACCATATGACCATTCAGAGGAATTCACCTGAGAGCTTTTGAAGAATCTACTTTAAGCTGTTGAAACTGAGGATCTGCCCTCATTAGTTATTTTGAAAACTGAACCACTTGTGTGTGTATGTATGCATGCGTGTATGTGTGCATGTGTGTATGTATGCGCATGTGCGTGTATGCTAGGGATGGAACCCAGGGCCTCACATGTGCTGACCAGGTGCTCTGCCGCTGCATGTCTTCCCCTGCCCAGGAGGTACTCTGGAACATGACTTTTCTAAATTGGCCTCTACCTTTAGTACATTTAGTGTATGACCAAGGAGACTGTGGTCTATGTGTATTGCCTAAGAGTCTCTGTTTCCCAAAGTAGGACTTCTCAGGTCACCTTCCCTGGCCTATGTAAAGTGGCCTTTACCCCAGCCTTCCCCCTTCCTCTGGCCTGGTCTTTTTTTCCTCGTAAGCACTTTACATATCATATAGCCATGTGAGTCGCCAGTCTCCTGAACTAGCAGGCTCTGTAAAAGCAAAGGTGTGTGTTTAGTCTTTGTTGTTGTTTTTTAAATTCCCTGGTAAGTCTTTGGCCCCTGAGGACCTGTTCTGCCTTCAGTAAATATTTGTTGCGTGATGGTCTAAGGATGGAGTTATTGTGTCCCTAGGCTTCTCCTGGGTAGGCCCAGCCATGAGGAAAAGGATCATAAACCCCTTTCTGAGCAGGACTAGTTGAATCTGGTAGCAACTTAAGGATAGACGTAGGCAGGGAGAGGCCAGTCTACTTTTTTTTCTTTGAATTAGATGCTGAATTTCGGTCATGTGTGTAAGGAAATGTGGGGGAGGAAGCCATTTGCTTAAAAAAGAAAAAAAGTTTTATGGAACTATCAATAGAGTTTGGGGATTTTCTGGTACCTTTTTAAAAGCTCTGCACTGGGTGTATTTCCTGCCCGTTTCCACCTGAGTGGTTCGTGGTCTCTTGTTTGCGTGCGGCCTGCCCTGGTGTTCTGTGGACAGTGGCACATCTGTCCCTTAGGAGGGTAGCAGTGCATCACTGTTTAGAGTCCCGTTTATTCCTAAAGTGGGGCTGAGCCCCAAGTGCTGCATGAACCCAGGAACCTACTCGCTAGAGAAAGTGACAGGAGGACGTGCCACTCCAGGGCACAACTCGGGATGAGCAAATAGCACCCAAGTACAAATGACACCCGAGTCTGGTGTGTGAGAGGACATTGACAAAGTCTTCTCAGCGAGGCAGAATCCCACGTTACTTTTGAGGACAGTGAGCATAAAGGTGTCTGGAATTTTGTGTTTGGGGATCCCCCACCCACACTTCAGAATGACTGCTCCTGTGTGCAAGAGGCAGATGGTCCTGGGGAGACGGGCAAAGACTGCCTGGGGRACAGCCCAGGCCACCCTTCCCCTCCGCCTCCCCTTCCCCAGCCTCCCAGCCTCCCAGGAGTAGAAGGAAAATGCTCAGAATGGCCAGAAGTTGTGGAAGGGAGAGTTCGTGGCTCTTCTGACCCATTTGTGTCCTGTGGGCACAAAAATGAGCTGCACCCTGGGGCAGCTGAGTAGCTCTCAGTGCACGGTCCCAGTGTCCCCCTGAAGTTTAGAGTTCACCACGTAAGTAAGGCTTATTAAAGACCCTGTGCCTGGCATGCTCCATGCCACTGGGGATACAGTGGCGGGTCATCTGCACGTCCTGTCCCGGGGTTGAACCCTAGGAGCGCGACAGGGGGTTGTGCCCTGCAGCGGGGTCTGGAGTACTGCAGGGGTGACAGGTGAGATTCCTTAGAGGCAGGTTTTCAKCGATGATTTCAAAGCCTGCTGAGCTCAGAAATTAGGCCTCCAACAGAGATGGGATTTCAACCCACTCCRCGGGTGGAAAACGGTCTTTGATTTAACTGCTGCTGGGTCTGGGTACACGAGACCTCAGAACCGGAAATTTCTTTCCTTCAGAAGTTCTGTGGTTGACGGACACACATGGGGATTTGTAGGACAGGGGCTCTGTTTTCTTTAGGATTACTTTCTATCCTTTTGCACTTGTGTGTGTGGTACTGGGGATTGAACCCAGTGATTCTCTACCATTGAATGATATCCTCAGCTTTTTAGTTTTCATTTTCTTTAATTTTTTTTWAWTTTWWTTTTKKKG